CACCATCAAACACCAACTACTCAGCGTCCTTTAAAGTTTAGACCTAAATTTCAATAGCAGCAACAATTCTTTGAACCCTTCAAATTTCTACACAATCAATTCCCTACAATTTCTAACAGATATTTAAACTTTCTTAGATATTTACATGTCTCAATCTGACAAACTGGGTTGAAAAAGTGTACGCTGGAAGTCAAGGTGTCAAAAAATTACAAAACAGTGATAGTCATTTTACCAATATGTTGGTCGTCGTTTCAGCAAAAGTCGTCTGACTAGCATGTGATCGCCTCAATTAGCCAGTCAAAAAAGCGCTCAAAATATGTTTGCAAAATACGCGTAGCGAACAGAACCTTTGAAAAGACACAAAAATCTATTTCAACAATTACGCAAGAGGAAAGCATACGGTAGAGAACAGACAAAACATGCTATATTCCATTATTATTTTCGGTACTTTCCGTTATCCATAACCAATTTTTCAAATAAGGATATTGCTTCTTTACTTGCTCCAAGTTTAATCGTAATTTCAAAGGATGAAGTGTCAACCCCCTTGCCACTCTACATTTGGCATGTTTTCTCAAGATTTTGTCTAACCTATTAATCAATGTGATTTCCATCTATTTTTCAATCAATAATGAATCCATTTTCATTCAAAAGTTTCAAAATGAACATTAACATTACAAGAACAACATTCTGTGTTCAATAAACACATTGGATTTGCCCAAAACAAAGAGAGCTATGGTTCCATCATCTAAGCGGCGTAACAAGCGACAGCCAGATATTTCGAGCTATCATTTATATTCTTTGTCGGCTAAAATCAGACGGCGGCAACGATCTGAGGGAAGTGATAAATTTGAATCATTGCTGAAAGCAACCAAGATGTTCTGATAAACTTTGGATTGTTTTGCTCCACAGAAATGATTTTGAAAAAAGCATGTTGAACTGAGTCTAAACGTGTTAATTTTTATCCTGACGCGTGGGAGTGACAGTCTTCATAAGTTTGAAAAAAATTTTCTCGCATAAAGCATTATTCCATGAAAGATTTCGTGAAAATGGGTACGGATAACGGAAAAGTACCTTATTCTTAAAGCTGCCAAATCATCAAATTGCCTTAACCAGCAATCAGTGCTTCCCCAAAACCAAGATTCCACAAAAACCAGTAAAATTTACACTATAAAATCCTCTATGATACAGCGAGACTTGCAGCCTGGCTGCGTTTCCTAAACATCCGAAAAGCTCAGCAAAAAGCCTTATGGGCGATTGCAAAAATATAGAAAAAATAGCCATTTTATAAGATAAAGCTGATGCATACTTTTCGTTGATAATAGCCACGAGAATCTGATTTCTTTCATTGTCTAAGCCAATGCACATCTTTCGATTAGCGATTATATCTTAATGATGTGCAAATCACAAATCCCCGTCCTTGCATTTACACACAAATAGCTCGGCAACTAGATTTTCACCGATTTCTTCACCTTTACACATTGCAAGAATAATTATCCTTCATATTTATCACGTCCGACGGACTTCGCAATAAATTCTCCACATCACGAATTTCGTGAATAACGCATAAGAACCAGCACAAAAAGGTGTGAATTCAGCGTAAATCAATCTTCTCATGAAGTCTAAACCTCCTGATTTGCACGAACAAAAGGCATTCGCACCGTTCTTTATAAGTCATTCATAAACAATGAAGGTCGCAGAAAAACATGTCGCGCGAACGTTCCGGTCTCGTTCTCGATCGAGTGCGCAGTTCAGTTTGCAAAGCAAGCAATTTCGAAGAAACAACGCTCCAATTCAGGTGCAAAACCGTAACCGGTACATTCCGTTCAAGTCAGTCTCTTACAATAGAGTTCACTACTCATTATGCTCGATCGTAGAGCGAAGAATTCCAGTTTCGTCGCTGTTTGACAATTTTACGATAGCGTTCACGTGCCACATACATGAACGCTCCGTTCGTCCCTAGTAGCTGTACAAGCTAGTGATGAAGATGTCAATGACAGTAGTCACATGAGCGAACGCCTACAAGCATAAGTTTTGGATGCGCGCCTAATTAGATGTTGTCAATACAACTAATCAGACGCAAAATCATAACAAAAATGGAAAGGACGACGCATCTGTTCCTAATTGGCATCTAGATAAACATCGCCACATTTGCGACCGCAAAACCAGTGGCGTTAGCAACTCCATCTATACCGTACTGACTTTTTCTGACAAAATTTAGAACCGGGCAAAGCCTCGCACCACATCCTCAGTTCTCCAATGTTTTGAATATTAGATTATTTGATACTTTTTGCATTTCCCACCGATTCAAGGAATGTCAAAAGAAAAAATGAGCGACACAGAAAAAACCTTGACGCATTTCAATGCGTCAAGGTTTTTTCTGCTTGCTTTGCCTCGCTTTTCAAAGGCTAAATAGAAAAGTACTTTGAACTATATTACCGCCGAAGTTTGCAAAAGCTCAGCAGGTACTCATCGAATAGAACAAGCTTTATGCTTTCTTAGTTTAAATCTCCACTAATTTTGAGTTTCCTTCAAAGAATGAGTGGAAAATTTTCAGAGAAGAACTTGATGACTTCCACGAGAAGGTCAATTTTAGCAACGGATTTAAATAACAATATTCGATTAAATTCTTACCGATCAAAAAATTCAGGATTTTAAGCAAGTAACTGTATTATTCACATACCTTCAAGCATCTCACATGTTTTTTTTTCAACCAAAGATAATCTATGAAACGGGTAATAACGAAGACTTTGTAGTGACTACTAGATATAGCAAACATTACATATTCTACCATAAACCTTATGAAAAATTCATAATGAGTGGGATGTGGATGATTTTCAAACAAAATACAAATGGAAGCGTGAAATTTACTCTGGAAATTCAAAATGATTGCTGAGACCTCGTCAATGCAACTTTGGAGAATATATCTGACAGCGCCGCTTATTGAATATTTGATTCATTTGTTGTTCCAGATATACGAAGTAGGAGATGGTATCTCTTTTACAGTCAAGATTTACTGAAGGTTTGCCAAGTCTTTTCTGACAACCGCGCTGCCATATATAATTGCACCAGTCACGAAACTCGGTTATCAGCACCCCTCTCCAGACCTTTTGTCTCAGAAACGGTCCATCTCATATCCTTCCCATAGGCGCTCGAGATTCTATTAAAAGGACACTGGTACGCAAATTTCAGTTCTCACCAGCTGATCATAAGCATCAAAGCTCAATAAACATAGATTTTGAACAGAAGGCATTATCCTAATCGAAACTGGCTGGGGACCAGTTTACGCCATATAACGCTTTCACCCGTAGTGCGATGCATTTTGGGTCATGGCCGCAAATGGTCGAATTTGACCCCCATAGAGTACCAAATCCCATGTTCACATCTATTTGAGGGGATCGACAGTTCTTGCAAACAAATCAAATGCAACGAACAATTCTAAACACAGAGGAAGCCACGAAGAATTTTTTTTTTTAATTTTTGAGAATACGATTATTTCTTCACTACCCGCAAAGATAAGTAAAAGAACCCCAAACAAACATTTTTCCTTTGATTCAAATGATTATCCTTAGATCGTGATTTTTTTCAAGTTGTTTTCACACGGGATCAGCATACAACATGTGTTCCACATAGCAGTGGCGGTTACAAGTCGTCCAAAAAATTTACAAGGCTTATTTAAATTTGAAAATATTTTTAACAAGTATAAACAAGTTATTTGCACATTTTTAGAACCCATGTACGTAACTTTTAAGAATTTTGCGACCCATTCTCAGGAGGTGAGAAGCGCCTCCTCCCCCCCCCCCCCGCCTTGCGTACTTCTGATATCACATGGTGACAACAACTCCACCCAGTCTATTTCAGGCCAAAACGAATAAAGTATAGATTTAGTTGCTTGAAATATATCCAGGCCTTCAAACAATGAAACTACAAATACGTGACTAGGGCGCAACCCTAAAAAATTTCGTCTATTGCCAAAAAAATTTCCAGACGTCTCACACCTCTACATAGATCATAACTTATGTAGACCTCAGAGTCCCTCAGTGAGAAGTATCAAAGGATGCACAGAATTGCAGAATGATGTTGACTAACAAGGAAAAGTTCCCAAGTCAGCTCTGCCAACCCGGATGAGTTATATATCACCGTAACGGGCTTGAAACGCTGATTCCAAATCTGCTTTCCTTTTCTGCGGAGCCACTTTCCGAGGGAAGTTATGAGCGTTATATGTTTGAATTTGTCATGTTCAAAGTGGCTTAAAATCAGTTGAAAGTTGTAAAAACTAACGGAATTTCATTATCTGTGTTCCGTCCTTGTAATCAATATACTTGATACAAACTGATAAATCACTTTCATGTGTTATTGTACAGGTTCCGCAAATTTTAAGCAACTTAAAAAGTGACAAATTTAGACTTTTAAACGCTCATAACTTCTCTCGGAAAATCGCTCCGCAAAGGGAAAGCATATTTGGAATCAGCGTTTCAAGCTCGTTACGGTGATATATGACTCATCCGGGTTGGCCGAGCCGACTTGGGAACTCTCCCTCGTAAGTTTTTTTCTCAAGGAAATCGGTAGTAAAACTTAAAACCACAAAGGCATAAAGTACGCTCAAACTTGTTTTGCTCATGCGCAACCGAGTTTCAGCAATGGTTCTCATTTAACTCCCGCAGAAATTTCAAAAAAAGAATGATTTCAAACTGAAATCTACCATAAACCCACCAGGTATTTTTGAACCATCAAAAAGGTGATAGACAAAAATTACGTTAAAAACCAAAGCCAGAAGATCACAGATCCTACCATAAGATGTTGTGTCTGGCACGTTCACCTGTTTTTCATGCGATACAATGTGAATTGAAATTAGTGTTGAGTGAGAGTGTAAAAAGTGAAACAATCACGTTGTCACAACAGATCACTACCATCGCAAGACTTTTAAAAGCATACATTGTTTTGCAAAACAGCAACACAACTCGTTATTCGAGTTGTAAAAAAACAAAAGGAGTAGAACTTACCTGAACAATGGCTCTAGAACAAGCTTCAACACCATACTGATGAAGAATGAGATTCAGGTCGTTGGAATAGATCGCGTTCACGTCAAGCATATCGGCATGTCGGAAGAATGCCTGAAACAGCATTCATCATTCCAGAACCATTTTTCAGCAATGAAACACTTTCTTTTGAGCTTAGAAAGAGTCAGCTCTACCAAACTTATGCACAGTGAGCTGCCTATATTAACTATTCACGAATAACCTTGCGCTAATTTTCTGCGGTAAATAAGACAAGCATCCTTACCTCATCTCAAGACGACGATAAAACAAATACTGTACCCCCAAATAGCGATGCATATAAGCGGTGCTAAACAGAAACTCATTGATAACCATGATTTATCAAAGCTTTCCCCTCTGAGACTGAGAGACAACATTTAGCTTGGGTTAGTCTTCAAATAAAATAAGAATGAAGAGAAGAGGAAAATGGGAGGGGATAAAACAATAAAAGCATACTCTTCTCATAATCATGATCTTACCTTGTTCTTAGAGAAGCGAAATTGAGTATATGTGTATTAATCAACGTCTAACTAGGATAGATTAAATCGCTTTGAATTCTTCTTGCTTTTCTAAGAGCTAGATCTTGGCATCTTTACGCAAAAATAATCTCTAGGTTCAGTGCCGCGTTCCTATTTTGAAAAATAGTGATCGAATTTCCAGATCCCTTGAAAAAGCCAAACAGCGGCACATGAAGCAAATCGTTCTAAATTTTTGAAATCGTAACAAAGTTCTGATGACATACAATTTCATTTGAACAGGAGAATAATATAGATCCCGCTTGCTTGAAAATGAGATATGAAAATAAGTTTCAAATACCAAAAAAGGGTTTCAAAGGTGAAATTTCAAGTATTTCAAGTTTTTTCTTGCAATAGCATTACCAAACTGCGCTTATCACTGGACTCTGAGCAGAACTCATCGAGTGAAGCATTTCAATTTAAGACAGGTTTATAAGTCTGAAATCAGCGCATTTTGAGGCAGATGTTGCATTTGCAGCAGCGGCTGGCAATTGCTATCGTTCTTCTTGCAGCACACCCCGTATGCGAGTTAAAAGGATATTGTAAACGCAGACTTCTCAGATATACAAAGTTTGCGAGCTACTCAGCCTCGGCGCTCGTGGAGACTCATATCCAATCTTTTTGAGTCCATGATGTGGCACTCAGCGAAAAATTCAAAAAAAAAAGAAACAGCCTGCCAGAGTAGAAATTATACCCTGATCTTGAGTGCAAGATATGGTGTAGGCAGAAGAAAACAGGTGAACGGGTGAACGGCGGAGCTCAGTTCAGGAAAATTGAAGTGAAGTTGCCCAAATTGTCTACTATCTGATCGTCTACGAGTTCCATATGGCACTTAAGTGATAGCAAAAGTGAGACTACCCAAGAGGACCGATCAGATGCAGATTGCACAAAAATAGCTACCAGAGAAAGAGGAAAAGTTGCAAGATGTTTAAACAGGGAAAGTAGTCGGAACTCGTAACCTTCTCAATCACTACAGTTATTAAAATAGATACATATGCAAACCGCTATCGAAAACGATGCTTGCGACTTTGCTTCGAATACTTGGTTCCTGCAAATTTGCAGCTTCGTTCGCAACTTACTTTAATGCAAGAAGTTACGCAAACATTGAGAGTTGTCCGGTGATGATAATCGGTCACTCTAGTAAGCGTATCAAGAAAATGGAGATTTTTCGAAAACGCCTACTTTATTCGACACATTTACATCCCCTCACAAAGAGGATTACCAGCGCTGAAATTAGTGACTTTTTTGTTATAATAAGGAATGTCAGAAATCGCAGTAGTCTTTCGACATGAGATATTATCTGAAGCAGCTTGAAACGCTGATTCCAAAACACTTTCTTAGCTGCAGGGCGAGCCTGTGTCGGGAATTATGAGCATTTCGATCATCAAATTAATCGAACGAGTCCTGGATAAGCACATAAGCACCTGCGCATAACATTGAAAGAGTACAACTAAACCGAGTGTTGGTAATCTGTTTCCATCTAGGTTAGGTTCAAGGCCACAATACATGGGCTTCAACAATTCTGACCACTCTCAGCGATGTAAATTTCTCGCAAATTAAAGTCAATAATTTCCGACACAAATTCGTTCTGCATTTGATGAAAGCTGCTTTGGAAGCGCGTTTCGAACCTTCAGAAAATACGTTTATCATGTTAAAAAGACCCTGCGACTTCTGGCACTTTTCCTGGAATAAGGTTGAACTTAATTTCTAACGAGTTTACAAAGTCATTCATTCTCTTATTAACTAGCTACGCCTCTGTATTCAGCATAAAAAGGGTTAGCTTGCAGATGAAATCTTGATATCAGCACAGGGACTCGTTTTTAGTTATTACAGTATGCCTAGCTGCTAGTCTCCCTGCAATATGTTATTTGCAAGAAATGGAGCCGAATCGAATATGACTAAAACTGAAGTTTTAACATGTGTCCCGCCAGTCACAACCGAAAATAAGAATGGACACAAGTTGTTTCAATTCGTAGTCAAGTAATTTACCCATTTCTTCCATTTGTCAGAGCTCCAAATAATTCATTGGGCGCTTAGTCAAGAAATGTGTAATCCAAATGAATCAGCGAAAAATTCCCTCAAGTGAAATTTTGAAGACTGAATATCCGTGGAGGAAATGACGGCTGCCACTTCTACGATCGTAGATAAACAGCCGCATGAAAAAGATGTTATAGATACATAGAAGATAGAACTGAGAGATGCATGGGACCGTACGTCGTCTCAGTTCTAAAGCACAGAACGACTTCATTCGACTGAAGAATATTCAGAGACTCACAGCCGAGGACACGACCGAGCTCTACGACGAACGTTAAAACAATGCACCCAAGAGAAATCCACGGATGTTCGATGTCCAGAGGAAAAAAATTGTTTGCAAGTGCGAGTTGTGATTTTTCATATTTTTAAAAACATCTACAAAGATCGCACCTACACCGCTCATTGAGCGATCAACTGACCGCTCAGTTTACCGAGACTCTAGGTAATTATCGGTGATAATTACTGCATATAAAGCCGAATTACCGCAATTCTAGCCTTTACCGACCAGCTCTTATATTACCGTACCGCTCGTTCTATTCTCTTTGAAAAATGGGTTTGTTTAGAAAAAAAGCGCTTCGTAAGGCAACGCTCAAACTCTAGTGACATCATTAATCTTTCCAAACCTGTTCATACCTCTAAATTAATGCCTTGCGTTTGTAGAAATTTAGTTGGCACGTCGTGCACAACTTCTTCGCTTTCAATGCATCGTTCTATACCGGGAGTTTGATGTACGATGAATTTTTCGACCTCTCTGGAAAACAAGAGAGCTACAGTAATCTTGCAAGAATTCAGCGAACAAGAGAAACCGCTTACTGTTCCACAATCGTTGCCAAATCGAGTTTGCTTTTGTTTCCCAGAGGTAATTGAAACACAACTTCGCACCATCGTTCCGAGTTCACATCGAATTTATAATCAACAATCAGATTTGATTGTGAGATCACGAACTGGAATGTGACATCATCATTTAGCGGAAACATTTGCCATTAGTCGATCACGTAAACATCAATGATTCCTTGCAGTTTCGAGACAACAATGTTTTGATGACGCGGCGCTATATGCAACAAATACCAGTTGACAAACATTAGAAGAAGAGCGTTTCAATCGGCAAATTAGCGGGCGCAAACAAAGGCAATGAGGTAGGTCAACAATGGTAAGAACAACTAACCTTCACCCTTTCATCGGCGCTTTTCTTTTTCTCTTTCAGAACGTCTTCTTTCTGTTCCTCTTCCATATCCTCCTCATCTTCCTGCTCTTTCTCACTATCTTCCTCTTCTTGTAACTCGTTCTGCAAAAAAACTAAATTAGTATTGTTCCAGCAAGGAAAAGCATGTCAGATAATGTCCAAGTAACTCTCCAAAATGCATAGTACGCTGGGCACGAAATGCTTACTACTACAAATATGTCTCGCTTATTAGCGGAATGGCTTCGAGTGAAGATTTACGGATGTTTCTGAAGCGGGAAACAAAACCACTGCTCCACTTAGGCGCACAAAAGCCTCAGTTGGGGTTTTTAGCCAGGGCTTGGATTTCGTCTAGAAAGACTCTCGCAGCTCCTCGAAAGGCGTTCTGCACATAAGAAAGAAAGATAATCAGGAAAAACCTCCCTTCCAACATTTACACTTTGGTCAAAAAGCCATTTTGACCAGCCATTTTTTCTTCAGAAAGAGCTTTCTAACGAGTTTGTACACGACACGATCAACGACCACTTGTTGGTGAGACTGAGCTCATTTGTTTAGCGTCACGCTACAGACAGCCCACACCGCCATTAATAACTAGCGACACTCGCCGATTAGGGTGACAGATTATGCGCCACCGTACTGAAGAAGAAGGCTGGCGCTGCTGTAGACCAAGCCAGAATTCCTCGAAAGAGCCGATAAAGTGCTATTCAGGCTAATTTAGAAATGATGATTTATAATTCAAGAATTTTGATTTGGGAGTATTATTTTCCAATTCCGTACATCTGCACTACGTCCGTCAAGAGTTTCATGCTTACATTTTCGCATGCGCATCACATGACCAACATACAATCTACTTCCCGTGCAGATTTCACACCTATGTCATGTTTACAACATACACTCCTGTAGTGCAAAGATTCCTGCTCCATATATAGGGCATTGCCAGATCGTAACAGTCGTATAGCCTACGGCCACTGCTCAAAGATTGCTGATATTAAGATTTGTTGTTTTCGACATCAAATGCTAATTCAACTCAGATAATATTGCCCGTCATTTGACCAGAGGCAATAACTCGTGAGGTCGGTCGCGCGATTTGGCAAAGCTCCACTCTCATAATCGCATCTTGAATGCACAACGATGCACATAAAAAACGTGACTTTAGCAAGATTTTCAAACGAATACCATGCGATAAAGAGATGAGACTAACCTGCTTTTCTTCATCATCTTTTTCCACGTGCACACGATCTTCTTCTTCGCCTTCGTACTCCGCAGCATCATCACTAGAATAAAATAACCGAGCATCAAAAAAATATGGCAGTAGGTTTTGAGTCTGCTGCAACAGTTGTCACATGTTTGCAACTTCTGAATGATAACCGCAAGTAACCGCAAGAAAGCCGTCAACTCACAGATGTCTGTCATGCAGTCTCTGTTCAGCTGCGTCGGCTTCCCTCCCACCTGCTGCTTCTTCGTCTGACGAGTTTCCATCGTCCATGTTGTGTGCTCGCCTATAACAAAAAATACGTTGATATTTCTTCAGAAATTGCTTCAAAACTTGATTCATACCGTGGCACCGGACCGTCTCCTCGTCCCAGGCCAGCGTTGAGATTTCCAGCTCGCAGCTTTCTATGCTGGACTTGCTGGTACTCAAGTAAATCACGGTATTTCTTCCCTATCGATGTTGCTAACGCTCGCAAAAACCGTTTCTCCAGCTGAAAGACTTGACTACACTTCTTTTTTGAGAAAGGAAAATAATTATACCAACCTCTTGAAGGATGACTCTGCGCTTCAAATGTTTAGCGTTTTGTTCTCTTTTCGAGCTGGAGAGAATCTCTACTCGGAGATGGTAGCGTCGCCAGCAGTCACTGTAACGGAAATTTAGCATGTGAAAGGAAATCAATGTAAACAACCAAGTTGGACTGAGAATGAGAAATGTTTTGTTATAAAACTTCTTACTTTCTTATTTTATTAATAGGTACTAATTCTAGATAAAATCCGTACCTATTAGTAAGATTGATCCTTTCCTCCAAAGTAAAATTGCGCAACACTTGTTTAAGGAACACACGATCCAGTTCGCGTCGTATCGCATCAATCTTTTCTTGTGGAGTGCCCGGCAGTATCGGGATCTGTAAAGATCGGAACTCCATGTTTGCGCTATCCGTAAGGCGATTCTTGCAGAATCTTGCAACCTTTGCGTTGCGGAAGTTGGCAATATAAACCACGCACGCATCTTAATGGGATGCATGCTGCAAGCATGTGAAGTTTTCCCCCTTCCACAAATTTTTTGCTCTCTCTCTCTCCCTCTCTTCTCTCTCTCTCCGGACCAGGAAAAAACTCAATAAAAATCAGTAAAATAAAGCGCTAACTATTCACCTTAGCACTAGGCGTAGCGATATGTTCCGATGAGGTCATCAGGATCTCGCGAAGTCTCGGGATACCCAAGGTGACGTTCATTTCACCTCTACCAGCAAAGTGGAAAGTGTTCAATGTCATTTGTGTGGATGGTTCACCAATGGACTGCGCAGCCAGTAGGCCAACGTTCTCACCAGGTTCAGCTAATGATCGCATGCCTACAAAACAAGTGCAGGATTTTATGATTAGCGTCAGAATGAAAAAAGAAACAGACCTTTCCAGAATAGAGATCGACGCAGTTTTTCGTTTTTACCAGAGAACTTGTAGATAGCATCCAAAGTCTTCTCGGGCAAAGCACCAAGCGTAGTGTATGGATTAAATTCCTGTAACGAGATGAACGATGACCACGTAGAAGCAAAATGCATAACATATAAATTTCAAAAAGCAAAAATTATTGCTCAGCATATATGCAAATGTGTGAAGGCAGAAAACCGTCTAAGAGCGTGCTATAAGCTCACCTCATCGACTGAATGCGGGCATCTCCTTGGGGCTCGCTTTTCGTAGACTGACCGTTCTGCAGCATCCATTTCTCCCCACATTCCAACTACTCGTTCTTTATCAACCCCGATCTGATCCATGGAAAACTCCGTAAAACCGGAAATGTACTGTTTTTTAGGATGGTCTGTTCCGGTTTTCTTTCTCCACTTCCTGACCTGCAACAATGGTTGAGAGCATACAGTTGAACAATAGACAGCTGATGCTACCTTCTTGTACTGCTTTTCAGCGGCTTCGACGTTGAACTCTGAATCACGCACAGCATCGGGTTTGGAGCAATGTATAACAGCATCGAGATTGTCTTGGAGGAATGGGAATGTCTTCGGGCTAATGTACGAGGCTTTGATAACGTCAAGTCCGTCTTCGCCATAATGGAACTAGAAAAAATTGTGAAAAATCGACTGAGTTCAGATTGATTTGACAAAAAAAAAGCAAAAAACTATAATTTCCTCAACGTAGAAGGATGGCAGGCGTATTACCTGCACAACTGATCCATCGTGATCCCTGACTGTGCCATCGTAATGAATTTTGAGCCCTTCGAGATGCTTGATCAAGCACCTCTGCAAATACCCAGACCGAGATGTCTTCACGGCAGTATCGATAAGACCCTAAACCTATTTTGATAACCATGGATCAGAAAAAAAAAAGACAAAACCAACCTCTCTACCAGCCATAGTATGGAAAAACAATTCTTGCGGATTGATACCCGTCAAGAAACGCTGATCAATGTAGCCACCCGCACGCGGTGATGGATCAAAGGCTCTAAAAATGCTGGGACATGATATGCTTTCCAATAAAAATTGTTGAAAACCCTACTTGAAAGATGGCAACGTTCTGCCCGCAACTGTTACAGCCATACGTTTGCCTTCCAGCTCAATCTGACCCAAACAGCAGGAAATCTTAAAAAGAATGAATTGTTAAAACTCCGAAAAAATATCAAATTGAAACTAAGCTTTACAAATATTCTAAATTACGCGAAAAAGTGTTACCTGAATAGCATTCACTGCTGATCCTTTGGCTCCCGACTGAATCATGACCTGAAGAGCATTCTCGGGGAAGTGACGGATCAGACCTTCCGGCACACAAGCCCTTGAATGTACCAGTTAACTTCGCCGATAAAGAGAAAGAGACATACTTCGTGATAGCATCGTTGTACTTCGATATGCTCTGTTTCATAGAATAATCAAGCATTTTCACATCTTGACCTTGTCCTCTCGGATTACAGTACGTCGAGGCCAACACTCGCTTGATCTCAGCATGACTGACATTTTCATCGAGCCCAAATGCGTTGCGCACGACCTATGGACAATAACTATGCAGACAATAAAAGTTCAACGAAAAGGTTTGCAGACTGCGAAACAAAGAGATGAACGGCACTGATGTGTTTATACCTGATCTCCAATGGTCCGCGACTCTTTGATAGCCTGCTTCCTGACTTTATCAGCATCTTTCCTAACAAGGATATCTGCCACACCAAGAGTAAACCCATGCAGCTAAACTGGTGAGTCTTTAGTGATGTAAGATGTAAAATATGCAAGGAAAACCACAAAGGAAAAGTTACCTGCAGATAAGTAGTGAAAAGTCGTGAGAAACATGAAAGTATCTGCACTCCAACTTTGTGACCATAAAGTTCGAAACAACTATGGATCAATCCATATTGTGTTGCTCCATAATGCTGTTTATCCAAAACACCAACCAGCAGCTCGCCTTGCCTGGAAACACCTTTCATGCAAAAATGAAAGAAATATATCATGGGTTAGTCTAGTTTATGCGATGAATCCATTGTGATTGTATTTTTTTTGTAAGAAACACAAAGACTATGACGCAGTCCCAAAGCAGTTAATCTAGGAGATGTTGTTTTACAGCCTGCACGTACCTGAACACAACCTCCGACTCGCTCATAACCTGCTGTGGTGCATCGAAACCCGGGACTTTCCAGCAGGACAACGGCGTTTTCGACTTGGACGTTAGATTAATAAGCGGTTTGTCTTTAGGCACGCAATTTTTGATGATACATGATATCACCTAAACATCAAAACCTCAATAGGATAACATAATATCAAATCTCAGTGAACACACCTGCTTACCACTCCACAGTTGATGTGGTTTGATCATGGCCGGAGGAGGTATTTCAATTCGCTTCGTTCGGTAAGCAAAGGCGGCCAAGACAAGATGCATAAAGTCTTCCTGAACATGGTCGAAATCTAGCAAAAAACGGCATACCAACAAGAGATTTCCTACCTTTGACAAAAACCTTCCTCTTATGGTCAACAGCACACCAGACACAACATGGTCCTGGATCAAACCAAGAAGCGGTGTAGCATCTTTTGGCACCAAGAAATTACTTCCAACATTAGCTATAAAAGACCTTTCAGCACAAAACCTCAGGTCTATATATAAAGCATGACATACCCAGCTCCGCCACCTCACACTGCGCAATGTGACTTTGTACCAAGTGTCCATTCATTTCATCTCCATCAAAATCTGCGTTATAGGCTTTGCATGGAGCATAGTTCATTCGAAGTGCGCGCTGACCAGTAATTACACGAGCCCTTAAATTTTAAAGTCAGGTTCCGATAACAACTTCTTTCTCAAAACCAAAACAAGATATAAAGGAAAAGGTATGAGCAGACCTGTGTCCTTGTATGGAAGGTTTATGCAGTGACGGTTGACGGTTCATCAGCATCATATCGCCATTTCTTAAATGTCGTAGAACCTAGAGATACGCCATCATACAACACTCGTGCTTCTACGTTCATAAAAGCTCAAGATTATCAAAACAGATATACGCAAGAGCTTCACTTGTATGTACAAGGTAAAAACTCGGGTAGTACGACTGATGCAAGAAAGGTTTTTTCTGAAATTAATTACCTTAATAGGCTGTCGCAGCTTATCCGTGTTCGCAGGTTCGAGACCTTTGGCGATACCCATGCGCTTTCGAAAATCTTCATCTTCCGATGAGAATCCGGGAAACATACCGTCGAGCATTTGCTTCTTATTCGAGCTATTCACAACGTAATTAGCACTGAAAACACCTGATATGCTTTACTGGATACCAGAATTTACCAAAACGAATCAGCAACGCTTACCCCGGGTGGACGTTTGGACCGTTACAAACAAGTTGTCTCATATGTGCTTTGTTGAAAATATTGATAGGTTCCGTGAACGTCAGTTTTTTCGCAAAGATCTCAGGGATTCCAATCTCATCAATATCCAAGTAGGGATCCGGTGTGATCACAGACCTTGACAATTATGATTGGGTGCTACTCGAATTATAACAATGCTTACCTGCAAGCAAAATTCACACGTTTTCCCATCATGTTCATCCGAAAAAGACCTTGCTTCTTCTCGAGAATTTGTTTGATGCCAGGAATTTTGTTCTGGTCATTCTTGTCAAGTTCCTGAACTCAAGAAATAATGAGGAATGTATTACCTAACTTAAAAATTCGACATATAAAACAAAAGTATAACGGTGTTACCTCATCATAAATAGCATTCACTCGTTGTTGCAGCGAAAGATAAGCGCTATGCATTTTGGCGTTCATTGTCTTGCCTTGCGTTCGATTAGTGATCAACTCCATCAACTGCGGACTTTTATCTCCATTCAATACAAGCGATACAGCCTCAACAAAGAAGGATAAAAGCTAAAACACGAAAAAACTAATTTGAACAATACCTTGATCGTTTCAGTGGCTTCTAAAACTCTTCGGAGGTTGACAGATTGGGGATTTTCATAACGCTCTCCTTTGAAAAGCCTAATAGGTCTAAACTTAGTAGGTGGCACCATTATAAGCTCACAGAATAGGCCATCAAGAGGGCATAAGCCGCCAGCCTGAAACACGATTTCGTACTTTATGTGTGTAAACTTTTGTGAACACACTTACTCCTTCATCATTGAGCATGGGGAAAAGCTTCAATAAGAGCTTTCCTTCATTCTTGTACAGTGATCGGAAGTGTTCACGAATCTCAGCAGCACGCCAAGCAAGCTAAACAGAATTCAAATGTCAAGAAGAAATCGAGAAAAGTTCGGACCAACTTTCTCACAGGCTCCACTTTGCACGGCTCGCATTTGCAGTTCTAATGCACCTTCGGCCATTTCCATATTTCCATAGCCAACATCACTGAGCAAAGCTGTCTTCTTGTCTGGAAACGGGAATAATAAAGCCAGAAGAGTAGCTACCATAAAAGTCCCAGATAGCACAGCTATTACGAAATGCGGGTGCCTGAGTAGATAACTATTACAGAACAAAAGTATCTCAGATATGAATTAGATTGGAAGAGCATCTCTATTCAGCACAACAAAACAACGAAAAACTCATAAAATTTTCAGCACAATAGCGATGCAAATTACCTTTTTCGTCATCTGAGGAATGAACCTCCTCCTCCAGATCTTCACCTTCGAAGCCACTTTTATAGATATCCAGCTAAATTCGGAATATGTAGTTAACACTGATTATAAACACACTGAACACAAGCTCACCTTCTTCCTCTTTTTCCCATGCACAGTAAAATCGATCAGTACACATCGCGCTCCATCATTTCTGACCTGGCCATTGAAGCCCTTACAGAGAGGGCATCGGGCTTTTCTTTTGAACTAAAGGCAAAGTGAACATCGCAAATAACCAACTCTACATGAAATATAAAGAACTTACTAGGTGATCTCTGAGATAGCATTTTATCAGATTCTTACGCAAATCCACAGTATTCTTCGTTGGAGCATCGGCGGAAAGAGCACCCAGAGGAAGACCTGCACGATCTGATATGAGCTTGTCCAGCTCAGCGAACATTTGCAGTTCATCCTCCTCCGATACGACGGCTGCTGCAAAAAAAACGAAAATAATCCTTCCACCAGGCTCACAAATGGACAAGATGTGCTGAGTAGCACACACTCACAGTGTTTTGAAAGATGCAAAAAGGTAGAACGAAGAAAAATAAACTAACAGAAAAATAGAAAGAAGGAATTTAAGAAGGAAACATAATTTGGTACAGACTTGATAGAAAGATGCTCACATTGCATTGAAGTGCCGACTTTTTCTCTGAATTGGCTCTCAATTTCTGGTGCGAGGTGAGGTACACCCAATTCGAAACATCTGCATGAACGAAGTGAAATTTATAAGTTAACATCACATTTGACAGGCGACGGTTTAGATACCTAAGCTGTGCAAGTAGCACTTTCGTTGCTATCCCATCCGTGCCACATGTAAATCGATGACATTGGACACAAGATCCCTTTAGTAACTGCAAAAAAAAAACTCTGAACTTGAAGATATAATTTAAGTAGACCGATTCCCGAAAGAGTGACAATAACTTACATTAAAACAAAAACTGAACAATATTGGGTTAAAAACAGGAACATCCAATCGAATGTGCCCAAAATGTCCTGCAAATGAAAAAGCCTATTTCCACCAAAATTAAGCAAAATTATACCTGGGCAATGGACCTCGTACTGATTACAAGTCTCACATTTGTCACGTGGTTCGGTGGGACCTAGCACAGGATCGTAGAGCCCACCACGGATAGCATGTCCTACCTGGAATTTTATGTATAACATTCATGTAGCTGATGCATTAAATGGTATCAAATATTACAGCAGTATAAATTAATTCAAATAAAGCGATTAAACTCTTGAAATAAAAAACTAAAGCTTATCAAACTCTGGTAAGCAATAAATCAACTTTACCTCATCAAAGCTCCGTGTTTGTGTCACTCGCAAAACACTAAGCTTCTCAATCTCGTGTGGAAAGTAATTCCGCAACTTTAGTCTGTCAAATTGCATGTAGGGCTCATCGCCCGATCGCACTGTGGTCATTCCATCCATGACTTTCCATAGAAAGCAGAAAAATCTGCTTGAATCTGCGATTATTAGATGCAAGACGAGACAAGATGCAAAAGCTGATGAATCAGCACCTGGAGGCTGGCTTCAAAACCGAGTTTAACATGAGAAGTTACGATTTTACAAAGAATTGAGAAGAAAATGGCTAAGAAGTAGGGAAGTTGGGTATGTCAAGAGGCGCGATTTTTATTGCCAGATGGACCCCAAAAAGCACATAATAATAATAAGTGTTTTATAACATTCTAAAAGTACTGAAATTTTGGATGGAGATTTCAGGAGTTGCTTGGGTTGCTAAGTCAAAAGAGCAAGTTTGAAGGCCAAAAACCCATCAAAATGCAGCTAAAACAGACTCGTAAAAATTTCGGTCCGTTTTCCAGCAAAAGCCTCCAAACTCGGCGTGTGGTAACCTCAAACAGACAGTAATCCAATGCACTTTATGAGCATTGGATTCTTATTCCATCACAATCCTTGATCCCCTTCGGAGCGTAAGTCCTGCCGTACTCTCATAGCATCCAGAGTGGAACAACTAGGTACTAATAGTTATCCTTTACGAAGCAAAACGTGCCACGTTGATGAGGGACTGAAATAGTCTAAAGTCAGAATGAACGTCGACGAAAATTGTCTGCCTGCCAGCAGCGCAAGCTTGCTCTGATCGCAATTTGCGCGCTCTATTATCGCAAATGGAGCAATTTGTTCGATTAGGTCGAAGCGTGAGGAGATTTTTATACTGCTGCGTTGACTTGTTAACTTTTCTTGGAGTGGCCACGCAGTTGCTCCGTTGCCCTTTTCTGATAAATGACATACATGATTATAATTTGTGACGTTTTCATAAGCATGAAAAACTCTTTGACAAGATAGGTTATCCAGTATACAGTCTTTTTCAACCCGGATAGGCGAAACATTCCAAATGGAGCCCGAGTACGCACCGCTAGTGGCTAGCGAGATAAATTAGAATGAAGGGACGCAGCCCACAAAGCGGCGTGAATCGTTGCGAAGCGGGCTCCCACCAGTCCATTTTTCGCCCAAAACTGAGTTGGATCCTGGGATACGAGAAAAAAAGGGGGGGGGACCACGTACTCAAAATGACCACAAACGAAACTCGAAAGAAAGAATGTAAAATGAGGCGAAAGGTTCAGTCAAAATCTCACCTTTCCCTTGGCTCTTCCTGGCTTCGCTTCGTTGAGATCGGACCGAATCGTCGTACCAATGGGAGTTTCGAATGCCACGCGAGTCGCTGTAGACTCTTCTTCAGCAGTCGAGATTGATAATTGCCACTACGTGGTCACTGAACGAATAATATTAGGTTACTGCATAAGTTCTGTCCGATTTTTTTGCCTTATGTTTGAAGCAGCTGTTCTAAGAGAATTTCAGCTCTAATGCAGTATTGTTAGTATCTTTAGAAAGTGGTTTCCTTGCTCTTTCTAACGCGTATTAGATTTCAATAAATTTCTTAGTGTACGGAGATTTCAGACCTAAGATCTCTAAGTGGCCAAGGTACGTTCGCACCCTAGAATTATGTGTATGCGAGGGAATCTCCACAATGCGCCCTTCAAGTCAAGTTTTTTTTATTGGCTGCGGAATAAGGGTGTAGAAGGCTAGTATCGATAAGCTCAAAGTTGGAGGTGCTAGGGCAAAGCAAGAGCTAGCGAGGCCCATCCACCAGTTCCTTTACGGCGCCCAGGTCATTCGTAAATAGGCATGCACACATGTGCTGAAGCAAGGTCAAAAAGTGGCTTCTTTTTTGCTCGGTCAAAAAAATCTGTCGGCAGCGCGACCTTATGGGCTCTTTTATGTTGCATAGTAATCTACGAATATTTCTCTATCTATCCATTTTTAAATAAGATGTTTATCTATTCTCATAAGGGAGCTTTGCCATGTCAAAAAAGACAGGTTTGAAGAAAAACGCTGTGAAGTTTTTGCATTCTTGCTTATTCCTTAATAAGGATTTGCGCAATTCTCAATATGCTTCTGATAGCGAAGGAACTGTTCAGCACAAAGAATCTAAGGTCCTACAAAAAGGTTGACTTTTGAAAGAAGTTATGACATTTTGAACTCAAAAGATTCAAATCGGACAGAACTTATGCAGCAATCTAATATAGCACCAGGGAATACCAGGACAGAATCGAGGTAGATGGGGAGAGAAACCGCCGTCGTACCAACACCTCAGACTTGTGTAGTCAAACCCTTTATTAATAAATAACGAACAACAAAACAGATACGAAGCAAAATTCCAACAATATTTAAGCATTAAGTAAATATACTGAGAATCTTTCAACGAGATACGTAAAGCTTCCGAGGCATGAGTATCTTTTGTTAGCACACTTATCAAAGGCAAGCCTGAGACAATACAAGGCGAATGAATACAAAACCATAACAGAATGACTAACGGGAGAATACCAAGTGAGGATATAATGGCGAAATTCGAACCGTGATTGTACATTGATCGCTATACGTAGCTCTTTCGTCCGCAGCAATACGTAGTTTTGGCACGCAATAGATCATAGAGGTGCTGAGGCCGGGAGTCAAGTTCGGCCTCAGCACACTCCGGAGGGGGGCTTCAATGCTGATAGTGGGCGAACTGTTCCTCGAGATAGCTTCGCTCCTCCGGTAATGGGCACAAGCTATAGTGATGTGAATTAGCCTTGCAAGGAATCCTGTTGGGGCAAGGTTTTGGGCATGCCCAGGCAGAACAGGCAGAGAATGCGGGCACGTACTAAAGATCTTCTTTCTTCGACGGATCTGTGTTCAGTACAGGCATCATCAGTATGGGGGCCCGTAACAGAAAGTACATCTGTGGTGCTGCGATGTCTGGGCGGCATCCTGTCCATATTGACGTTTCTCGCAGTACGCCAGGTGATCGAGGCGGCGTTGTTTTAGTGCATAATCCGGATCTCTAGGCGAACGTTTGGCTGGTGGGCGAGAACGGTTCCTTCGCGGCTTGTGTGAAGCTTCAGGAGGAGTGCTGCAACTGATGTCCTGACGGTTGGTTTCGTTACGCAGAATGGTCGAAATCTGAGTCATCAGGTTGATCATCGAGTTGACTATGGCTCGCTACTATCGTTGATCTTCTCTTCCAAGTGTCGGGATTTTTCTTCTACCAACGCTGTGAGTTGAAGTAATTGCTGTGTAGTTGTCTCTTCGGTTCGTTTTGCCTTTTCATCAAGGAGCATCGATTCGATCCTGTGTAGTTTTTTCAAAATGGATTCGACATCCGGAGATCGCTTGGTTGTCGTCGTGTCTTCGATGAGCCTTTGAAGGAGTTTTTCGATGTCGTTCAGTTTCTGTGGATATCCGCGTCTTAGTGTCGGTTACATATGGATCTACTTCATCTTCTCGATGTATGGATTCAAAAATGGATCGATCGTGAGAAATTCGAGTGTACATTGAGTGTTCTTGAGTTTGTTCATGTGGTCGCGAATGATGTTACCGTTGACTTCCTTAGAATTAAGGCGTCCTCCTTCTCTGGGTCTTCGCTCGTATGCTTGTCTACTGAAGAAAATAAGAGGATCGTCTTCGGGTTAATTTGTCGTACACCTTCCAAAAGAGGCTAGAGACGACTTGTACTTGTCCTTAACGTTGTTTCAAAACATGGACCGTCGCTAGGAGTTCGTTCTTCGTGTCAAATAATGGCTTTGCGTTATGTGGTACAGGTTCGTAGTTTTTGCATTATCGCAAAGACTTTTCATATGGGATCCTGGGAGTTCTGGCTTACCCTCGGAGTATTGGTTGTTTATTATTCAAGATCTGAGTTTACCAAGGATGACTGCAGTGTATGCAGTGTGTTCATCCGCTTCTGGACGATCATGAGGGAAATCTTCGCTCAAGGACGGACTCTGTTGATCCGATTCATCATTCCTTGGTAGAAGGAGGACCCTAGTCAGTTCTAGATTAGCTGAAGACTCATGCGGATCTAGAGCGAATCGAGTCCTCATATCTCTTATGGTGAGGGCCGTGGGTCAGCAGAATTCAACATTGATTGTTTTATAGATCTTGCACAACTGTCATATCGGCAGGATAACCTGGCAGACGTGCAAAGATGTCAGCCTGCGCCGAACGTTTGTCGTCAGCTGCAGCAAGACGAGGAGTAAGTGAGAGGAGCGGAATCACGAATATTGTAAGTACATATCTCATCACGGAATTAATATGCCAGAAAAGGCTCATTAAGCTTTTTGTGCTCTTTGTAAAATTACTATTCCAAGTCAGTTGTACTGTATATCAATCCTCCCAAACTAATAACAGAGACGCAAGAATAATAATTTTATTCAACTCTAAACGATACATTACGTGTATCTATTCACTTGATCGCACCAAGTAAATTTTCTCACTAAAAACAAGTTCTGGAAAGAATAGAGGTCATTGATGATGAAACAAGCAATATTATGAAAGGTCTTGCTGTTGCAAAAAAACATACAATGAACGTAGTATGCACCGTATAATTCATTCTCACCTTTCTCGGAAGAGTCGATGAGTCGATGTCATCGGTCACCACAGCTCTAAAAATATTGTATTTTGCTTTCGTGGATGGCTCCCAGGGTGTCTGCCATATAGTCGACGAAAATAGGATATATATCTTTTCACAAGGCTGAATATCTTTTTGTTATTCAAACGATCCGAGCCAAACTATGCCCGCCCGCGCCGGAGAGGGCTTGTGTTAGAAGCTACAATTTGTATAACGCGCACAGCCACGGCAGTGGAACTACACATCTATGCGCGACCGCTATAATGTGCTGGGCTTGAGGAGGAACCGCAGTGCAAACAACGTCCTATGTTGCTACTCTGAGTGGCGTACCCACGATTTACGTAAGAGAGGACAAAATGTTTTTCGGATGATGGTGCATGGCGTCAACCATGTACTTTAAGATTTTTCTGGGATGCTTCTCTGTAATCCCTTTCGGGCTCGGTACGATAGATAGGCTCTCTAGCCTTTTGCACGAAATGAATACACAAAATCACGAAATAATCTATTTTAACAAACAAAATAACATCGACAAAAAGGAATAAAATTAAGGAGATAAATGATAG